TCGTGGTGGTGGTGGCGGTGGCGGTGGCGGTGGCGGTGGTGGTGGTGGTGGTGGCGGCGGCGGCGGCGGTAGACATAGCAGCAGCAGTAGCGGTAGCAGACGCAGTAGCAGACGCAGTAGCAGGAGCAGCAGCAGTAGCAGGAGCAGCAGCAGCAGCAGCAGCAGGAGCAGGAGCAGGAGCAGGAGCAGGAGCAGGAGCAGCAGCAGAAGCAGAAACAGGAGCAGGAGCAGAAGCAGGAGCAGGAGCAGCAGGGAAGCAGTAGTACGTAGTCGATGGCATTGTCGTGGACTACATACACCCAAAACACAAACACAACGGCTCGGGACCCCGGCCGTACCGCAGCAGTGTCTGGGCATCCACATGAGGCGTCCGCTCGTCAAGGACGAGGTTCGGGCCTGAGGATGTTTTCAAATTTGGGGCAGAGGTGATACACCCAAGGCTAGTTTTAGGGGAGCCGGATCTGCAACGTGATGCTTTGCCGGCTTGAAGCCGCCATCTGAACCATGCATGATGCATCGAAGCCTCCTTTCGGTATCAAAAGAGGTGAGGCAAAAGTTGCAAGTGACGCTCGATTCGTCGAGGTAGGAAGGCCAAAGCTACACAGCTGATCACAGCTGAATCACGTCCGAACTGTACAAGTGGGACAAACTGAGTAGCAGACTCTACGCATCTGCGTACTGTACAGGTTGAGCATGCTCAGACTTTGCCGAACCTACACACACGAACCTGGCATGCAATTACCGTTCATGCAGCTACCAGGAATCGATGTCTGCCCATTTGGGCACATCATGGGCATCGTGTTGCACGAAAGACACCTGTCTTGGCACGACGAGCCGATACACTGGCCTCCCACACAAGTCTGGCAGGAGTCGCACAAGGCACACTGAATTTCGCAGGTTGGGCCGATGCACTCGCCAAAGCCATTGCAAGTCTGGCAGGGGTCGCACATTGAACACCTCGCCTTGCAAGGGGTGCCCATGCACCCGCCATCGACACAACTCTGGCAAAAGTCAAAGGGCGGAAAGCACTCTCGAGGATCCGGATGCGGGCCCCAGTGAGGCCTCCAGTGCTCCTCGTCCTCATGGTGCTCCCAGTGGTCCTCATGGTGCTCCCAGTGGTCCTCGCGGTGATCCTCGTGCTCGTGGTGCTCCTGATGCTCCCACGGCTCATCCTTTTCTTCGCCTTCGTGCTCGTGCTCCTGGCGCCAATGCCGGCGGCGGTCGTCCCCAAGGCGGCGCTCCTCTGCCCAGAAGGCCAAAGGCTCCATGCCTCGGAGGGAGGAAGGGCGCTCGGCCTGGGAGTCGGCAGTGACTCCGCAAAGGAAGGCGACCAGCAGCAACGCGAACATGGCCTAATAGCTCCGTCTGAAGTGATCCCAATGATCTCTGCTACGCAGAGGCGAAGAGAGCTGCGACCTGTCGGAAACAACTTCTGAACGGCAAGGGGTGAAGCTGCCGCACAGAACGTAGCTGCCTTAATATTTAGAATAGGGTTTTGGGGTATCTTATATACTATCATTTTTATAAGGAAACCCCTAAAATAATATAGGTAACTACTATTGGCCCCTATAGTAACTGAAGCCCCAAAGCCAAGGGCTTTCAGTCCAAAACCCCTGAACGATGAGCCCTAGCCATCATTGTCCCAGCCCCGAAAGATAAATCCTAAACACCACCCTAATGAAAGGAAACTACAGGTGGGGAGTTTAGGGTATGTAGGGCTTCCATAAGGCTTCTATAAGGTATATAGACCTTCTATAAGGCTCCTATGACGGTATCTACCCACCTGAAAATGTCCTAGACCTAAAGCCTATAAAGTATCTTTAAATTCCGAAGCCGTAAACCCTAGACCCGCTGCAGGTCTAAGCTACCCTGAACCCTACCCATAGGCTCCTTAGTAGTTCCTTCTTGTGGTTGGTATTCAGGATCTTATAAAGCAATCCCAAACAGGAGCTTCTAAGGAGCCTATGGGTAAGGCCCTAAAACCTGCGCAGAAGCTGCTCATCAAGTTCCCTCAACTCTACACCATGCCCCCTATCCGGCACTCCAAACTCCAAAGCCCTGCCATAGCCCACACAAATCGCCGTCAATCTCATAGGTCGTTTTCTCAACCCGGATACCAAAAGGGCTGAAGGCCCTGAATATGCTACCTATGAAACTCCTGTGTAGAAACCTGCATAAAACGAATGTAGAAGACGTGTCAGTACAGACATACTACCTCTACAATGCCCTGAACAAAATCCTGGCAAAGCTCCACGAACCACCGTGCGCAACCCAACAGCAACTGTCATGCGCACCCTCCCGAAACTCCTAGGAGAACATCGGGATAATTGGTAATACGACCCCTTATTGTGATTACACAAGCTTTAACAAAAGCCTTCAAAAAACCCTTACAAACCCCTTCCAGAGAAAGAGTTCTTGCAAAACCCTTCTCAACCCCTTCTTTCTCGGTTTAGGGCTTTAGGATTCTCTAAACCCTAAACCCTAAACCCAGGTCCTTGGGGTCCCCTGCTTTGGCCACCGTAGGCCGGGTGGCGGTGGCCCATGGGCGGAGACCGCTGGTCCGGCATGAAGCCTAAATGAAAAGGGCCTTAATCACTATAGGCTAAACCCTAAACCCGAAACCCCTAAACCCTAAACCCTCTAAACCTCTATAGACCCCTAATACTAAACCTCTAAGCCCCTAAACCCC